CTACAAAGGACAAAGTATTAACTTTTATTTTCTTGATGAGAAAACCAAGACTCAAAAATATTCAGCAAACCACCTAAAGTCACACAGCTACTAACTGTAGAGATGAAAGTCAAGTTCAGGTTTGTAGACTCTGAATATTCGACTCTTTTCACTATATTATATTGCCTTCCAACTCAGCAAAATATCTTTTTAGTTTAACAGGGCCATTCATTTTTATTATAATATTTTCCCTTTGAACAAGTCAGAACATTTTTAGGAATAGAAGGGAAATTCCTCAAATTTTCTAACATCATTTGTGTTTCTTAGGATATCCCTTAGAAAAAAATGCTTTAAATCTTTCCTCCACAAATGAGCCAGATGATTCTATTTTTTGTATATTGTTTAGAGCTAATCACTAGTGTGGTTTATTTAAACTCCTGGATGTTTTATGCATTCTTCCCATTTAAAATTACATCATATTTACTTATTTTGGCTGTATGTTACTGAGTTTTTTCAAAGATATGGAATTCTTTGCATTTAGTCTTTAAAGTTCAATAAAATCAGGACCACCACATTGCTCAACTCTGCTGGTGATGTTCACATCTTATCTACAAGGAAAGTGCTCCCTGAAGTTCTGTGTGCAGCAGTTTGGTTAAAATCTAACTCCAAAAAATATACAGAATAGAGGAATAGTTTATTTTATAGGGCAACTTTGATTTCTTCCAAACTGCAAGGATGTAGATCTGGTTTCTCTTCTAGTCATTTCCCATTTGTGTGATAACCCAGAAAAGAGGGCAGTTTCAGGGTCAACCTTGTATTTGCCTTTGCTGTGTGATGTGAATAGCATGTTCTACCTAGCGAGATTCTAAATCTGAATAACCTTCAGGGGTCTCCTTGACTAGGACACAGCTGAATCTCTGGGTTACCTGTAGAAACGCAGATTCCTAGGGTCAACATCAGTAGGATGGCCATCCTGAGGGAATGCCTCAAATTTCCTAACCTACAAATGCCTCCAGGGATGGGAACCAAGTCATCTAGATATATATTCAAGTTTCAGATTTGGTTAAACTTAGAGGAAGTTTCTTACTTATGGTAGAGAAGCATTTCCATATAAATTGGCTTAACTATATAAAATCTAGAAAAACAGTAGTTTAATTGTATTTCAAATTAACTTCTTGAGTTGGTATTCTGTATTTCCAACCCAGATGAAGAATTCTCAAAATTTCTAGGAGCAATCAGCTGAATACTCCATTGCATTGTAAAAACCAATCTAGATAACACGTTTTAAATAATTTAAAATTTTAGTCTTGCATTTTTAACAAGGATTTTCTCTTCTTTTTTTACAGTAGAGCCTGTTTTCTCATCCTTCCCTCTATACAATTCATATACTCAGTTCCATGTTCAAGCCAATCATGGTGGCCCCATTTCTCTTGCAATGATGGACATGTGATATAGTTCTGGCAAATGAGCCATTTAGGAGAGTCTGTTGGGGACTTCTGAGACATGTTTTTTCATTTCTATAAAGGGTACAAGAAAGAGAAATCCTTCTTCTTCTGGGCACTGTTACATTTGAATGTGATGCCTGGAATTGCAGTAGCCATTTTGTGACCTAAAGGGGAACTGGCCTGAGTATCAAGTTCACAACTCAAAATGGCAGATTGGAAAGAAGAAAAGGATCAGAGTCCTTGGATGAGTGAGGCTGCTCCAGAGAAATAGAACCAATAGCATGTATATAGATGTACAAGAGGAGAGATGTATTGTGGAAATTGGCTCATGTGACCATGAAGACCAAAAGGTTCTACCATATGCTGTCTGCCAGCTGGAGAACCGAGAAAGCTGGTGGTAAAATTTAGTCTGAGTCTGAAGGCCTGAGAATGGGGTTGTGGGGTTTGTGTTGCTGGTATAAATCCTGGAGTTTGAAGACCCAAGAAAAGGAGCGAACTGTCCAAAGGCAAGAGAATATGGGTGTCCCAGCCCAAGAAGAGAGAGAAAGAGAGGATTCGCCTTTCCTCTGTCTTTTTGTGCTATTTGGGTGGGCCCACAACAGGCTGGATGATGCCTGCCAACTCTGGTGAGGATCGATTTTCACTCAGTCTACTGATTCGAATGTTAATTTCTTCCGGAAACGCCCTCATAGGCACACTCAAAAATGATGTTTTACCAGCTATTTGAGCATCCCTTAACCCAGTCAAGTTGACACATAAAATTAACCATCACAGCCCTTGATTAGGGAGTTGAGCTACTTACTTAACCAACCCTGGCCAGCCCTACCACTGGACTTACTGCCATATGAAATAATAAATTGTAGCCAGCTGAGTCAGTTCTGTTAGGGTAGTCTCAACTGCAGAAAACAGAAAACGTGGCTCAGCTGCTTTAAATTTATTATCTCAGTTGAGAGCATATGAAGTGGTCCAACATTAGGAATCATATTTTGAAGACTCTGATGCTGCCTTGATTTCTGCCTCTAATAATTCTCTCTCACCCTTTCATTTGTTGATCCTTCATGCCACCATTGGGATGATCTTTGTAAAATTCAAAATTGCTCATATTAGAACTCTGATTAAATTCTTGAAAGGCTTTTTTTTTTTTTTTTTTTTTTTTTTGCTTTGTCGGCTTAGCACACCAACTTGTCTTCACTGGGTCCAGGCTGAATTTCTCCGACCATATATCTCATTAGGTCAGGCCCCAAACACACCCTAAAGCTACTGTCATTATTTGACTATGCTATGTTCTGTCTCCCCTACGCTTTACAGTGCTATTCCCATTGCCTAGAACACCCTTCCTGACCTGAAGGGTCGCCCCAAAACAGTCTTCAATAGCCTCTTTTGGTGAGTCTTTCCTAGTGTCCCCACATAGTCCCCCAAGATTGTCAGATTCTCTTCAGTGCTTCCAGTACACTGACTGGAATCCCCTGTTGCAACACAGGTGATGCTGCAGTGTAATTGTCAAATCGTTTCCTACATTTGACTATAATGTCTTTGAGGGGAAAATGTGCCTTATTCATCTTAGCATCTCCAATGCCTAGCTTAATAACAGGCTTAATATAAGCAGGTAATAAATGTTTATTAATGAGTAAATAATGCTATAATCCAGACTTGAGTTCATGAAGACAACTGTATCCTCTCTTTGTCTGATTTATTCCTGGTATTTTGCAGATCATTGCATCCTCATTAGGGTAAGGAGGAGCAAAGAGGGGAAGGAAAACCTATAACTCTGTAACATCTGTTGTCAAAATTTTGGAGGAACGTAAACCAAGCTTAGTAAAGATTTCCTTTCATATATCTCTTATCTATTCTATCTCTTTCTGACTCATATGATGAATCATTCAACAAATATATATTGAGAGCCTACTACATGTCAAGCATTGCTTAAGCATTTGGAATATATTAGTGAACAAAATAGCCCTCAGACAGCACTGGCTCTACAAATAGCTTTAAACAATCATTTGCCCTTTCTGCATCTTAGACCTGCATTTGTGCACGAATAAGAAACACTGTGATGGAAAGCTTTAGGTCCTCACGTAAAAGTCACTGATAAGCACATGGATATATTGTTCATAAGTGCTGCCACTTCTGTCTAGAATCAAGAACAGTTGAAAGGAAGAAGTTACTTGTGGGGGGGAACCCCACAAGTGCCGTGGCAAGGGTCTGAAGCCTCAGCCTGTTCCCATATAAATATTGATTTAGAAAAGAATTAGAAATGAAGGCACATAGTTATTCATTTATATAATCATATATAATCTTACAGTTACTCACTTATAAAGATACCTACTCAATATAACCTTTAATTTTACTGATGACTATTGGGTTATGAAGCATGGAACTGAGGTGACAAAGTGAACAAAGTGATCCTAAGGCAAGATGCCCTTAGCCCTCTGTCACGCCCACATAAGGGCTGCTGGAGGGCACCTTGGCTGTGCAGCAGCGCCAGTGCTGTGAAAGCGCCCGCTGTTTAGCCAGCTAGGGAAGGAGATGTCCAAAATGGCCAAGACCTCACCTTCCTAGGGAAGTTAGGAGAAAACTCCGCTTCTCTAAGCTTTTGTGGCAAGGCCTGACAGCTGTCAGGGAGACAGGCAGACATCTAGGGGCTTAACTGTCTCTACGTGATGCTGTGCTTCAGTGGTCACGTTCCATGTTCACTTTCACGCTCTGCTTCTGCACCTGGTTTCTCTTTTTCTCAGAAGATAAGAATTAATTAATGTCCTTGACATTTCTAACAAATATGCAAAGAGCGCTGACACATTAGGTTTTCTCCCCATCTCTGCTGCTTGAAAGTCCTGGGCCTCTATCTCTAAGACCCATGATTTACCATTACCATTACTATCACTGACCACCATTACCCCTACCTTCCCTGCCCACTGCTTTGTACTCAGTAAAAGTCAGAGTGTGTGGACACTCCGTGCCACTGCAGGACTCTGCATCTTGGTTAGCAGTGGACCCCCGAGCCCAAACTCTCTTTTCCCTATCTCTGTGTCTGAGTCTTTTATTTCTACAATTTCTCGTCTCTGCACCAGCAGGGAGGGGCTCACAGAACCCTATGGGGCTGGACCCTATAGTTACTGATCAAATCACCTCCTTGACCTTGTTCTCAGCAATTCACACCAATAGGCATTGAGTTCATTTTTTTTTTTTTTTTAAACAAGAGAGTTTTATATACTCATGTAGCATTTGAGATTTTGACTTCCTTCCTTCCTAGCTGCAAATCTCCTTGAGGCTCCATCTGGGACATTGACCACCACCCATATGTACCACCTTGAAGCTTCCCTTCTCTGGTTTGCTGGGGACTTTGTACCCAGCAGCTCCATCTGGGCATTACAGGTTTAGAGGCTGCTGGGGGAACAAGGACGATTTCCTACGAAAACCAAGTATATCTGAAAGCTTTTATGTTTTTATGTTTCCTTCCTACAACCTCAGCTTCTGTTGAAGTGGAAACTAGACTGGAAATAAAGGCCACACTGATTTTCTTCTGAGAAAATACATTACCATGTTTTTTTTTTTAAAAAAAGTCCCAATTGCTCCGTGGGAAAGGTTTTTATTTTACAAATACTCTGTGATTCTGAAATGACAGGATGATTACATTTCTGACAGCACTGGTATAATTCTCAGACTCCCCAGGGAGAGCAATGTGGGGCTTTTCCTCCTGGAAAGAAAAGGCAAATTTTCAGGTGCTGAAGGTACATTTGATTTAAGCACGATTCAAAATAAGTAAGTACAGATGATAACACAGCAAATAATAAAAGTTGGGTAATTTAGCAAAAATAAGTTAGTCTTATCCAGAGCACTACAAATGCGTGAAAGAAAACTGCAAAAATAACTGTCTTTGTTTTTACAACTTCCCAGTGGCTCGCTGTCTCCAAATGGGGAGATGTGAGAGAAACTGTAGGGAAGAAGAGAAACTGGAAGAGCCTAGGGAAATGTAAACATCAGAAGGGAATAGGAGAGTGGAGGAAGGGGACAACTTCAGTGTCACTCTCACAGACTCTCCTGCCCCTTGTGATCTGGACACAACCTGGCAGGCCTCGAGTTCCCTGGAGGTTGTGTCTCAGCGATAGTTGACCCGTCGTCTCTGACCATCAAGCACCTAGAAGGCGCTTTCGCAGGAGCAGGGCAGGGGTCTGGGGCGCGGAGGGGGTGGGCGCAAGCCGCCATCGGCTACCAGTTCCCGCCGAGGATGGTGATAATGAGGATGGGGCCAGCGTTGGCGGTAGAGCGCCTGGTGGCCCCTGGGCCCCTCATCATCCTCCGCGCCTCCCTGCAGCGCGCAGCAGAGCGAGCCCAGTCGCCTCCACAGTCGTCGCCGGAGCCAGCCGTCGCCCGCCTGGAAGAAGAGGTAGACGAAGGGATTGAGAGCGCTGTTGACCATCCCCACGACGCGCAGCGCCGCCGACAGGCCTTCTGCCTCCCAGTCTCCCGCTGGCCCGGACGACAACGCGTTCGCCAGCCGGGCGGCAAAGTAGGGGAGCTCGCAGCCCACGAACAGCAGCGCCAGCAGCAGGCTTATCTTCAGGCTCTGCACCTTGGCGCGGGGCAGCGCGCTGGGCGCGGGGGCTTGGCCGGGACTCGCCCACCAGGGCGCTGCAGCGGCAGGGGCCTGCGGCCGGCGCCGCCACCAGACGGAGAGTAGGTGTCCGCAAGCGACGCCCAGGACCACGACAGGCGCTGCGAAGCCCGCGACGGACTCGTAGAGCGCGTAGACCTGCAGGTGCCAGCGTGGCAGGGACGCGAAGATCCCACGGCAGCGACGCTCCCCTGGCCAGGCGCGGGCGGCCGGGGGCGCGCCGGGCTGCGGGGACTGCAGCGGCGGCTGCAGAGGCTGCAGCGGCGAGGGGGATCCCCCGCGCACCACGAAGGCGGGGGGTAGCGCCAGCAGCAGCGCCAACAGCCAGCCCAGGGCGGCGAGGGCGCGCGCGGGCAGCGGCCGCGCGTGCGGTCGATGCATGGCGCGATGGCGCTCGAGGGCGATGAGCACCACGAGGTGGGCCGAGGCGCCCCGCCCCGAAGCCTGCAGCAGCTGCAGGAAGCGGCACGCCAGGTCGCCCGTGCCCGCGCGGGGCTCGCCCAGCAGTTCCCAGGCCAGCTGCGACAGCGCCGTGCCCCCGCACGCGTACAGGTCCGCCAGGGCCAGCTGCACCAGCAGGAAGTCCATCTTGCGACGCTTGGGGCCTGCCCAGGGCCCGCCGCCGCCGCACAGGCGGCACAGCACAGTGGCGTTTCCAGCCACCGCCACCACTAGGATGACCCCCAGGAACACCAGGCGGACGCGGCGGCTGGGCGGCCCCGGGGCGGGGGCTCCCTGCCCCAAAGTCAGGTTGAGACCCCAGCCCAGCAGGATGGGCACGGAGAGGTTGGGCGCCGGCGGCGGAATTGAGGGTCTAAAGAGATCCTCCATCCTTGCCCGGTAGGAAGAGGAGGCACCGAAGAGGGCTGGCAGGACGCGGGAAACCAAAGTGGAGGCGAGGCGGCGCGGGGAGCCAAGCTGGGTCTACTGAGTTCCCAAAGTTAGTTGAAAAGGCACACGCACAGAGAGGGAGATGGATCAGTCGGCTTTGCGCTTAGTTGTTTTTATCGACTGTCTTCGTCATTTGTCACTCAAATGTGGGTTGTACACTCGAGGAACACACATGATTCCTATTCTCCACCTTCTCCGCGTCTTCCCTCCCATTCCCGGCGGATCTTCTTCCAATCTCTGCAGCGGCCCCCGACGCTACCCTCGCAGAAGCCACGGGCTTTACTTGTAAAGCACAGCAGGACAGAAGGCTGCTTTGCTTGGCCATTGTATAAGGCCAGTGTTATCCCAGTGCCCACACAAGAGAGGACCTCTTGACTGAGATTGTACCACAATCCACCACCACCCCAATGTGATTGCCAATAGGAAAAAAAAATAGAGGAGACGTTAGTTTTGATTTTTAAATAAAGGTTTGAAATGCCATGGATCTGTACAAGCATTAGGAAAACAGGAACACAAGAAACCTAACAGCGTTTTGAGCAAAGAGACCTATTAGCTGAATCTGAATCAAGATACGTCTTCTCTGTCCAAGAATGAAAGTATTTTAATTAGAGAGTACTGAAGTCAATGACGTTGTTTCTAGGAGTGGCAGTAGTTTGCAGATCGTTCCAAATAATTCTCATTACTAGATGCAGTGGATCACAGCTGCTTTCTTGGTGATGTAAAATTCATTTCATTAGTCTGAAGAGGGCATTAATAGGTTTTATGCAAATGGTAGTGCATTTGTTGCTTTTCCCCTAATATTTTCATCCAGTGAAGGATGTGTCATCACACTCCTCATTCTCTTGATTCTGTTTTCCAGCAGATGGGAAGTTGCTAGGAGGGGATACGCCTCCAATAAGCCTAGAGAAAAGGTGACTAAGAAAGTGATAAGGCGGCCAATTTTTTTAAAAAAGAAATCCAAGTCTCAGGAAATGGTTTAGATTAAATGTTGCTGCTTTCATTTTAGCCTTGCCTTCTGACAAACAAATTTTACTTTCCCAGTTGGAAGCATCAATTTGTCTTTTTATGCACCCTCCACGTTAATCATGGTGAAAGAATTTCCTGTACTTCCTGGTCTGGGGGCCAGAGAGATACGGGTGTTTCCTGCAGTTCACATTCCCAGTCTAAGGAAACATTTGGAACTTTAAGATTTATGGCACAGGAAGATTTGGTGGGTTCCATGATAGTCCTGCCAGCTGCTGTAGGAATCTCATGTCCCAAGCTGTTGTCCTTTGGCCAGAAACCTTGGCTAGTTTCATCGTCATCTCTGTGGAGAATTTCTCTGGTCTGACACATTGTAGTTATCGCTGAGTATGTGTTGAGTTGATGAATTAGTGGATATATGATGCCTTTCAGATAACTTCGAGCATAAATTCTTGCCTTGACTATAAATCCATCACCTAAGAAAAAATTCCTTTCATACTATGCCAGTATTGTCCAGAGGAGCCCAAGGAGGCTCTGTGGAGACATAGGAATAACTGTTCTTGGTGGGACATTGGAAAATCTAAAATCCTGGTTTGATTTTCATGCTTGCCCTTTAGAAGTTTTTGTCCAAAGCCTTTTTCTATGCACACACATCATCCCAGTTTATAATGCACTTCTTCCAGGGAGCCTTCTCCAAGCAATGCTCATTATTCAATGATTTTCCTAGCCAATATCATTTCAGTATTTCTCAAGATAGTCTATAATTTGTCTCAAATTTGTTGAAATGCTCTTATATATTAGCATTTCAAAATAACTACAGTGAAATTACATGTCATAGAACTTCAGTAAGATCTGATAAAACATTGATTTTCAACTAATTATTTTTTTGTTTGTTTTGTTTTTGTTTTTTTGAGACAGGGTCTCACTCCGTTGCCCAGGCTGGAATGAAGTGGCATGATCATAGCTCACTGCAGCCTCAACTTTCTGGGCTCAGGTTATTCTCTCACTCCAGCCTCCTGAGTAGCTGGGACTACAGGCACATACCACCATACCCAGCTAATTTTTGTGGTTTTTTTTGTAGAGGTTGAGGTTCACCATGTTGCCCAAGCTAGTTTTAAACTCCTGGTCTCAAGCAATCTTCCCACCTCGGCCTCCCAAAGTGCTGGGATTATAGGCATGAGCCACTGTGCCTGGCCTAAACTAATTCTTATTAAAATTATACATGCACATAGTTTTGAAAGTCAAATGGAACTAAGAAGGCTGATAACATGAAGAGATCCCTTGTCCCATACCTCTCCACTTCATTTCCTCTTTCTAGTGGGAACAAATTTAGACTTTATTTGCTCTTTCTTCTGACATATACTTAATTCATGATAGTACATAATATGTGTGTAATGCTATTTATTGACTTAACAAATTGATATATTATCTCTTAACTTCTTATTAGATAAAGACTTATCTCTCACACTATTTCCATTTCCCATATCATTAGAACAATACTCTAATTTTGCATTAGACTTATATTTGGCATTTATCTTACTATAAAATGAAAATATTCATAGTTGAGCATTGTATATTGTGAATATATTTTTTGTTTTTCTTAAAGTTAACAACTGCCTTTTCTTACTTTTCATTGTTGTCATAGCTAATTCTTCCTGTACTCTCAAATAGTCCCCCACACAGTTTCTACAAGGTCAGTTTCATAACGTAATATAGCAGCTCCAATTTTATTTTAATGGAAACCTCTTTACCAGAGATTTTCATTTTTCTCTTATTTGGGCTAATTTCTCCCTAGGCCTGCTGCATAACTACCATCTGCGGACCTCTATCTGTTGTCATCGTTGAAACTTTCTGCCTTTCTTTGGGTTGCAGTTCCTGTTTCTTGGATCTCTGGCCTTTTTCCTTGATTTCTTCCTGTTTGGTAGAACACATCATCTAATATTTCATAAGGTTTAAAGGCTGTACAAAGCCTGAGAACTAAGTGATGAGAGACCTCATTATACTCATTATTTGAGTCATGCAGACTCCGTCCGAACACGTTGACCTCTGGGACAGCGGTCATCCTGGAATCTCATGTCAGCATCGTCCTAGGGATTCCTTTCACTTACTTATGCTGACTCTCTTGTTTTCTGATTTAATTTTTTTTCTTTCCTGGTTTATTTTCTTGCTCGGGAAGAAAGCATGTTTCAGTGACTTATTGAGAGAGGGTAACTATTTGAGATCCTACATGTCTGAAAATTTCTTTATTCTACCCTATTGCCAAGTAAACTGATGATTTGGCTGGGTTTGGAATCCTAGTTTTGAAAATCTTTTCCTTCTGAATTTTGAAGGCAGTGCTCCATTCCCTTCTGGCTTCTAAGTGTTTGTGTTGAGAAGACTTAAGCCATCTGATTCATGATTTGCTTAGATGCGATCATTGTTTTTTCTTTCTAGAAGCTTATTATTATTCTCTTTTTTCTAACCAATTTTATAAAATGTGTTTTTCTATTGGTTTATTTTTATCCAATGTTTTGGGCATAATAGAAGATAATGAATTGTATTTAATTGTAATACTTATTTAGTGGTCTTTATCTAAACAGCCTCCCAGTCTTTCTTTTTCTTTTTAGGATGCTGACATTTCAAGAGTCCATGACACATGTTTAGCAGAATGTCCTTAAAATTGTATTTGTTTCCACATAATTAAATTTGGATTTGACTTTTTTGGCAGGAATATTACATAGGTAATACTGTCATCAGTGTATCATTTCAGGGGTGCTAATGCCACTTTGTCTCAATATAGATGTTATTAAGCTTGACATATATGTTTTGAAAATTCAATAGTTTTAAATTAAGTAGTACATATTAATTGCAGAAAAATTAGATAATACATATTCACATACAAAAAACATTTGACATACCGCTCAGAGAAAACTGTCATTAATAGTGATATATATTTCAGACCATAATGACTAGATCTATATATTATAGAAATAGATCACATTGCATACAACCTTTTATATCCTGCTTTCATTTCACCTAAGACTGTATTTGGATAGCTTCCCATGTCAGTGAAAATATAATTACCTGTTTAATGTTGAATGGATGAATGGATTACAACTATTTAAATAGCTCCCTATTTTTAGACAAAGGTTTTCTCATTTTCATTTTATAGATAATTCTGTGAAGAACATCTCTTCACCTACATCCTAACACATGCATTCAATTATTCCCTTATGATAAAATCCTGTAATTGGAATTGCTAAGGTGGAGCACACACATTTTTAAGGCATTTTAACATGTAGTACTGAGTTATCCTCGACAAGGGACTCAAGCAATGTGTGTGTCTTTTCCTCTATAGTCCCAACAATATGAGCATCATCAGCATCTGTCACTCTCAGATGAAAACATTTCATTATTTCTTCATTTTAAAAATCGAGATATAATTTATATACCATAAAATCTAGAATTTTAAAGTGTACAACTCAGTGCTTTTTAGTATATTTACAAGTTTGTGCAACTACCGCCACTATCTAATTCCAGAACTTTTAAATCATTTCCAAAATAAACCTACACACATTCTTTTCTTCTCCCAGCCGCTGGAAACCACTAGTCTCCTTTGACACTGTGGATTTGCTTATTCTTGACATTGTATAGAAATGTAACCATATGACACGGTTTAGTTTCTGGTTTCTTTGCTTTGAATAATGTTTTTAAATTTCATCCACATTGTAGCATGTAATAGTATTTCAATATTTATGGTTAAATAATATTTCATTATGTGAATACACCAAATTTTGTTTATTCACTCATCAGCTGATGGATATTTGGGTTTCTATTTTTGGCTGTTTCTATTTTGATTGTTTTCATTACAGTGAATAATTCTGTTATGAATATTTGTATACAAGTTTTTCTGTGAATACCTGTTTCAATTCTCTAGAGTATATTCCTAGGAGTGAAATTGCTGGGTCATATGTGAATTCTATGTTTAACTTTTTGAGGAACTGCTGAACTGTTTTCTGCAGAGACTGTGCCATTCCCTCCATTGCCACAATTAATGTGAGTTTTCTGGTTTCTCCCTTCATGTAGATGCAATTTCTCATTTGGGATCATATTCCTTCTGCTTAAATAATGTCCCTTAACATTTCCTATAGTTCAAACTGCTGGCAACACATTCTCTTAGTTTTCTTTTTCTTTCTTATTTTTTGTGTTCTAAAGTTTTTATTTCACCCACATTTTTGAAAGACACTTTTACTGGGCATATAGCATTCTACGATGAGTTGT